CACATTTCTATGTCTGTAAGCTTATTTTCCGGAGGTTTTTCTCTTTCTTTCTGAGATGCCTTGTCACCTTGGCTGTTCATGGTGTTTAATGGAATATTTCTCTGCCTGGGTATTAATTGAAGCGTATTCTGCTTTTTTCCTAGAAAAAATATTTATTATAAAAGGTCTCTTTAGCCTGTTGCAAAGAAGGCATTTTTCTTTTGGTTTCCAGTAGGTGGCGTCTAAGCTTCTTGGATCCCTGCTTTGTATAAAGCCTTAATCATGACTTTTTTTTTTCTTCTAGGTGTTTAATCGTGTGTGCTACTCTCAGTCTCAGTAGCATTTGCTCAGATTCCTCTGGGGCTTTGCAGTGTTCAGTCTCAGAGGCTATGGAGGGAGGAGCCCTCTGGGTTGGGGGGTTGGGGGCTGCAGCTCAGCCTCGGTTTTGCAACCGTGGCTGGTAAAAATTAACTGTTGTTTCTCTGCCATCCCGCTTCTCTGCTTTCTGCCCTGATGACTGGGCCCCGCCACCAGCCGCGTGGAGCTCACAGCACTCCCAGGCAGGATTGTTCAGGGAACTCATGCACCTTCTCCCCTCCTGCTTCTCCCACAGGGATCTCCAGTGGCTGTGAGAGGCAGCTTCTTTATTTCTCCCAGTCCACCACCCAACACCCAGGGTTCTAATCTGTAGTAGCTCTTACACACAGATCCCATGCTCAGATGTGCTGGTGTGCAGTTTGGGCATTTTTTGTTGAGTTTTAGATGTTCTGCTTATTGTCGTTTCAAGGAGAGATATCTGGGGACATCTCTCACTTTGCCATGTTTCTCTAGGCCCAGAAAAGCATTATGTTTTAAACCAAATTAAATTTGAACTAGTTCCTCACTTTTCAGGTATTGAGGGCTATGTGGTGTGTTTTAAGAATAATTCTGCATCACGAATTGATTTAGAAAATAGCAAGCACTTACTCGAAGGCCAGAAATCCTCCTCATGGTAACCTGGCGGTTGGAATCATGGTGTCCAGAAATTTGGTTTGGACCCGGGAACATGAAATCTCGTGTATTTTCATCATATGTAGACAGTGTTTCACCCACTACAAGAAAGATATCCTATGATTCAAATTATAACAAAATATTCTATTTAGAAACAAAATCATCAGGTAACAATATATATAATGCCTGATGCCTTACTGAAATACCTGCTAGAGGGTGAAGGGTTTTTTTTCTATGAAAAGAAAATTAAAATAAAGTTATGTTAAATAAGTTAACATATTTCCTTATTCAGACATGTAGTGCATATTAATAATTATACCTCCCGCCTTTTGTAAAAGGGGGAATATTCATCTAAATTTAGTGAATATCTAAGAGTTCCTAAAAGAAAAAACAAAGTCCTTGTAAACACAGCAAGTTGATATAACATTTATACATCTGAAAGTTAATTACCATTTCTACATTTTCTACATCCTTTTCTACTTGCCATTATAAGGTATTAGGTTCCATATTGAAAAAAAATGTAGACGTTCTCTGGAATTTGTGGTTATCTGAATTAGATACATATTTAATATTTGAAATTTTTCAAATTACTAGTTTTCAATAAAATATAACTCTATTTTTCATGCAAAATATGTATTTGATTAAGACAGGTTTCTTCTATAATCATAGATATCAATAACTGAAATGAAACTATCCTTCATATTTTAACTCAAGCCATCCTAGAGATTTGTAATGTTTACTAAATGGGTAAGATTTTATTCCTGTCCATTCCCCATAACAGTCCACACATAAAAACAAAGATAATTGACTACTTTATCAAGAAAAGTTTTATAAAAATCACAAAAACTAAAAAATCAATTTTAATGAATGTCACAAAATATGCTGAAATGATATCGGATTATTTTTGCACTTTCGATTATTACTATTTACTCATTTTTAGAACAGTGTTTTCAAATGCCACATGTAAATCTTTCTGTACATATTATTTTGGTCTACTGATATTTTACACACACTGGACCAATACTAGAAACTCAACACTGTTCTTAATTTGGGAAAAAGGGGAAAAGATGAGATATTTAAAAAGCATTTCATTGAAATGGGTTCACATGTCAATTTCCTTATCAAAATATAATACAGTACCTGGTGGAACTAGTTGAATCAACTCAAACAATGCTGTATCATCTGAAAGTTTAAAGAAAAATTTCCTTAAATAAATTAATAACACACAAAAGTAACTTTATCAGAGAAGCATCTAAAAGTCAAAGCAATTGCTAGATAGACTACATATATATTTATTAGTATATTATGTGTGTATATATATACATATATGATACATCTCTTATGGCTTTACTAATCTATATTAGAGATTAACTCTTCAATCTCACTGGGGTTTTCTTTCTGATTTTTTTAAAGACTTTATTTTTTTAAGTACTCTTTTTAGGTTTACAACACAACTGAGAGGGAGGTACAGAGATTTCTCATACATCCCCTGTCCCCACACATGCATAGCCATTATCAACATCGCTCACAGGAGTGGTACCAAGATGGAGCCACTATGGAAAGCAGTATGAAGGTTCCTCAAAAAATTAAAAATAGAAATACTATAATGATCCAGCAATTCTGCTTCTGGGAATATAGTCCAAGGAAACAAAAGCACTAACTTGAAATGATATCTGCACCCCCATGTTCACAACAGCATAATTTGCAATATTGAGATATGAAAATAGTCTAAGTGTGTCCATCAATGGATGAATGGATAAGAAAGCTGCGAGATACACAGAGACACACATACACATACAAACACGCAATGGAATGTTGTTCAATCGTTAAAAAAAAAAATGAGGAAATCTTACCATTTGCAACAATATGGATGGAACTGGAAGGCATTATACTAAATGAAATATTTCAGACAGAGAAAGACGAATGCTGTACAATCTCACTTATACGTGAAATCTACATCTATTACCAAGAAATTAATGATCTCCTTTTGCCTCATGCCACCTGATTTTGACAACTGTTCATCCTCTTTCTCACTATAATCTCTTAACCTCAAAGTCTTGACAACTTTTTCACTGAAGATAAAACAGGTCTACTTTCCTCTTAAACCTAAGACTTGCCGTAATTCTGAACAATGTCAACCTGCATGTGAATGCCTCATCCAACACTTCTCTGATCTCAAATCCAGTACACTTATGCAAGGAACTGATTGTTTATTTACATGCCTGATTCTTTTTTTATTAAAATGGACACTTCTTTGAACAAAGAGGCTGCATTTCATTCACTTTGGAATCCCCCGTATTCTCTCATAGTGACTGAGATTGCAGGCAATCAAAAAGTTTTTAAAAAATTTCTTAGTTCTTATTATAGGTCAGTGGATAAGCAGCTTTTGCTTGAGAAGGCTTTTCTATCACCCCTCGAATCATGCGACACTTTCCATGAATACATCATACTGTTTCTCATCATATTACCAATAAATGGAAAGACAGAAAAGGACTAATGTTAGATAGCACTGAAAAAATAGGCTTTTAAAACACTTGATCTACTGCATATACAATAATTATAATACCTGATCACAAAGAAAAGCCCTGTCTTTTAGAAAATATCTAAACATAAAGTGAAATTTCATTTGAAATCAAATCAAATAATCTTAAGATATGCTCAGTGTCATAACTTTCTATACATACTCACACTATATTTTCCCTGAGGTCACTTATTCTGCAACCTCGAATATTCAAAAAACATGATTACAAATTAAAAAATACATTAAAAAAGGACATAGGTAGTCAAAACTATAATATTACTTACTACCATTTAAAGAATATTTTCTGTATGTCGGGACTGAGCTCCTATAAGCTTTACGTAAATCCTCAAAACAACTCTAACAAGCTATTATCTCTATTTTACTGATAAAAAAAAAAAACAGAGACTAAAGGGTAAGGTTACCAAAGATAGTAAGTTTCCTGAGATGAGATTTGAGCTCAGTTACAACTGTCTTCCAAGCTTGCACTGTTTTCATTAACAACCCTACTGGAACTAGAAAGCAGCAATTTGCAAAATAAATGTGAGGTGAGGAAGTTGTATTTTGAATGAGTAGTAGAATAAAGAGATAGGACAGTAACTAGATGGGGGGCAAGGATAAAGATAGAAAATATTTCTTTTTAAGATGAGAATTTACAGGATGTTTATAAAGGGTGAGGGTTAGCAACAAGACAGTGAAGATATACAAGGAAAAAAATAAAATATAATGACCAAGATATTAGAAATGGCATGAGGAGATGGATGAAGGGGATAAATAGAGAGAATAACCTTGAGCAGAACAGAGAAACCTGTAAGGCCAGGAGAAAGAAGATTAGAGTGGGTAATGACGTAGGTGACCCCAAGGACAAGGGTGCAGTAAACTGAAGCAGAACAATGGCATGGACTCGATTTTGGTCAGTGAAGTAGGAAGTAGGGTCATTTGTTCATCTTAAGAATGCTAGAGTTTAAACAAAAGGCATATATGATAAATGAATATGCTTAGAATATCTACATGAGAAATTAGAGAGAAAGCTCTCCAAGAAGTAAAAAGACTGAAAGGTAGCACTGAGAAGCAACTTGTGTTGGCACAAACCTAAAGTTCATAAGAGTTTATCAGCAACACCAAATTAATGCTTTCAAAAGAGGTATTTGCATTATAGATCAAATCTATAATTTACTACATTAAAATTAATAAAGTAATATAAGATGTTGAAGAATTACATAAATCAAATTTAGAAAAACATTAAAATGAGATATAACTCAGAAAGAAGTAGAAATAGAGGAAGTAATTTCAAAAATGAATATTAAACTAAAACAAAAGCAAACAGACACAACAGATAATGCCTTAAAACAAATTGAACATAAAAGTTTTTTTTTAATCAAAAGGAAACAAAAAAAGATTTCAGAATTTGAGAGAAAATAACAAATACTAACCAAGCAAAAAAGATCAACAAACTATAACAGAGTCTAATCAAGAAAACTATGACAAAAGACAAAAATAAATACTAAATAGTATATTTCAGGAAACTTTGCAGAAATAAAAAAAGATGAGAAATAAAAAATGAAAGAGAATACATTGTACCTAAGAATACCAAGCCATAAAAAAAACAACTTCAGGACATATTCTAGTAAAATTACTAGACTTAAAAAATATTTTAGGCATCTAAGCAAAAAAAAACAAAAACAAAAATGATTTATAAGTGAAAGGGCACTAAACTTTGAGAAAATGATTTAAATATCTGAGGGAGAACTAGGGTTAAGTTAAGCAAAAGCTAAAAAACTAAAATAAACTATAAAACTAAGCAAAGGAGAGCAAATTATTAATTCGAGTGAAAACAAAATTCATGCAGGAAAAATAACCACAGTATATATGCCACACGGTTCAACTATAAATACTTTAAACACATAATCATGAAAATATAAACCAAAATTGGGATAATTGTATTAAGGAGAGAAAGACAGAAAATAGGCATGTATGTGTTTTGAGGGTAAGCAGAGAATATACAAAAATATATAAATCCTCATTTTCCGTAAGAGAAAGTACAGATAATATCTAAAATTGAAAAATCAGAATGTTTCGAATGCAATATAAACATGCTAGAGATATAGAGGTGAGTACAAAGAAAAACAATTTTTAAAAACTGAAAAGTAGTCCTTAGGGAGTGGGAAATGATGAGAGAGATGTTACCGGGCTACTATTTTTTTTGTAAAAAGCTTTGCAGACTATATATAACTCTGATATAAAGAAAAACAGCATAATTTTGTAACCAATTAAAAATAATATTTTGATATAAGTAAAAAGCAAATTAAAAGGTAAGACATTAGCATTTACATATATGTACATATTTATATAGATAAGTACATATGCATGTATATGTGTATATGTAGCCATGTATATATGTAGTCTGAAAGTCCTACAGAATAGTAAAATTAAAGCAAAAAATCAGTTCGTAACAAAAACTGAAAGGCTTTAAAATAAAGCCAAGGAAGGAAACAGGGATCTAAGTAAAATGAAAATGCCCCACTCTAGCCAGAATCATTCTGGAAGGGGCCAAACACACAAGCAGAACATAGTCAATAGAGCATTCATCAAAATACTACATGAGGACTTAGTATTGCCAGGTACTATTGCTGTGAACAATTTACATAAAAAAAAGAAAGAAAGAAAAATGCACCTGTTAACAAAATGTATTTCCAATATCTTTACTAAAGGTATCAGTGATCTCAGAAGTGGCAATGGTCTCAGGAGTATAAAGTTTAAAAAGTTTAAACAGAAAACAAAGTTAAGATTTCTATCAAATACTCTATACTTTCTAAATCTACCATCAACAAAATGAGTAACTGCCACACAGAGTGAAGTAATGAAATAAACAATAAAATAAACAACTCACATTGTCACTAAAACTCCTCAACTGTAAAGAAAAGGTCTGAAAAATAATTGCTTGGGTTTGTTTAGTTCATATTTTATTGTAAGAACACAGATTTTCTAAGAAAAATTATTTCCTAGTTTCTATAAACAACTTTCTACTCCTTTATATTTAAAAATCTTATTTTGGCAAAAATACTTCAGGTAAATTGTTAAAGGAAAAGCCTTATAGAGAACTAATGCTGCTGGAAACCAAAAACTAAGTTAATGTAAATTACATCTACTAGAATCTGTAGTATAACTAACCTCATCTTATAGTTACCCTTCATCTTATACCTACTTATAATTTTCCTCTTTCCTCTGTAAAAGTTTTCATTTTCACATGTACTTTTAGTGTGAGTTACAAAGTAAATGCAGTGCAATGCTCCAGAAATCCGAGTCACAAATAGCAAATCAAAAGCTACAGTAAATACCTTGAGAGAGAGCCAGAATGCTATTAAACCTCTGTACCAGCAAGAACAACTGCTATCAAAATTTCCTCTAGATGCCTATTTATCTGCCTTAAATACAAAGGTGAATTGGTTGGAATGAATTTGCCATTGTAGATTTAAAATACACATCCTGAGTCCAATAAGCTCTCCTGAGGATCCAGGCAAGGATATTTTCATGTACAGACTTTGAGGATTTATTCTCAGCCTTCAAATCTTTACCTGAAAGCATTTTAAACACCTCAAACACCAGGTAAGCACTAATTCCCAGAAGCTGAAAAACAGGGGCTCTAATGAAATTGCTTTTTTTT